CATGACCTGAGCTGAAGTCAGACGCTTAACCGAATGAGCCACGCAGGTGCCCCGAGATGTCCTTCCCTTTAAATATACATGGATTTATATCTAGTTCACATATATACTCTGCTACAATTGCATTAACTGTGTCCAGTGACAAGTGTTCATATATATCCAAGGTGGAGAAGCATGTACTCAGAGTGATATTGGATATATCCATCCTGGGTGTGGAGGGCAACCCCAGGCAGCGAGTGCTGGAAGCTTCCAGTGCTTATGGTCAGTAGGAGTGGAAATCCTCATGGAATTTGGGGAGCAGTTTGGAGGGGAGGATTCAGGCTGGGAGAACATGGTTCCACACTATGTGTAGGTCATACTATGTGACCTCATCTGTTAGCTAACACAACCTGTTGGAGACCTGCATCTTTGTAGGCCCAGCTTAAAACTTGCATAGAGCATTTAACATCAGGGGATCAGCGTATTTTAAAATTGGGTTTATGGGGATATAGGAAAAAATCAGTTAATGCAGTAGAGACCCAAAAGGTGGACCCATGGGGTAGTAAGACTGTGAGACTGTAAGAGGCAGAAAAAGGCAGCTCTTGGTTCCCATGGAGCAGGGGGTTTGTTAGTCTGTTGCAATCAAAGCTGGCACCCATAGCACCTGATTCTGAACAGCTTAAAGGGGACTCAAGGGGGCCCACCCACTCACTCATTTGAGGTCAGCCTTCAAAGAGACAGGCTTCCCTACATGGACACAAATACTGACACACATACCCACAGCTGACGGAGCTATTTTTAAAAGTCCCTTGGTAGGCTAAGCATTAGTGGGTCGCCATCGGCCACCGTAGAAGGATTTTCACACCTTAGCCTGGGTCCATTTGGCGAATTTCAAAACATCTAACTTCTCTACAGAAGGAATTGGCAGTGTAGACAGATTGGAAAGCTGGGCCCTGGGTTTTACACGTGACTGGAGAACACGCTTTGAAGACAAAACTAAGTGCCACAGAGCTAGGGTGAACCCTGAAAATCACTGACCTCTCCTTTTCTTTCTCACTTTTAGCTGTTCCTTCCTTAAATGTTTTTTTTTGTTGTTGTTGGGTGAAGATCTGTAAAGGGGTGGGAACTTTTCCTACTCTTGGGCAATGTTTATAAAGGGTGGAGTCCTCACTTTTTATTTTTGTTCGTTTATTCCATAAGCATTATTATTTGGGATTTGTTTGCAAGAGTCTAATTTCCCTACTTTGGCTATTTTAATTATAGCTGAATAAAACTGAATTATATTTTTTAAATACTTTTTTGGGCTTTCCCAAAATAGCCCAAAGAATCATGAAATGAGCTTTGATTAGCATTTTAGATTGTAAACAGTCTTCAAAAAAGGATGCATATTGATATCATGAAGATGTGATCTTTGAGGTTAACCAAAAAACCCACTCTAAGGTTTTCTCATTCCTTAAAATAGAGAGTTGTGAAAAAAATATATATATATTAAGAAGAAGCAGGGAAACCATTACATTTCAAAAGATCTTTGGTAAGAGTGCCATTTTTCAATTATTAAAGTGTCCTTTTTAGGACACCTTGAGTTTGATCACTGTGGAACCCAGCAGGACATTAGTGATAACACTTCTTTACTTCTGGATGGGATGTGACTTCTGTTGAATTAAGGTGTTCTATAAATAGATACAGGGCACACCCCAACCCAGATCTGACATCTCTTAGGTGACATCTGAAAACTTATCCTTCGCATGTTTTCAAATTGTCAGCTTGATGAACCTCTAAACTTTGCAGGGTTCCTGTGGATAAACAATTTTATAGAATACACAGAATGGCAGACTAATGCAGAAAGTAAGGACACGATGAGAAATTATAGATGTTGTACACTCTGCATTTCAGGTAAATGGTTTCCAGACCAAGGAGTCAAACTAACTACGGCTTGAATTTATATTTTACAACTTATGGGCTGTAAGGCCTTGGGCAAGTTACTTCACCTTTCTGAGCTACAGTTCCCTTGCATGAGAAACAAAGATAATGCCCAGCTTTGTGCAGTTATTGGAGGGATCAGATGAAATAACACATGCAATACAAATTGTAGAGCTTCTGGAATACTGCAGACCCTCAGTAAGGTTGGCTTACAAAACCGGATCAAGAGAAGTAAAGATCAATATACCAAAATCAAAGAGCGTTTTCCTGAAATACAAACACTGAGAAAAGAAAAACTCAGGCGACTGACTCCTTGTCCATTTAGGCAACAAGTTTACAAATGGCCATAAAATCGCAGATGGTGTAAAGCAGATGACGTTGGTTAGTGGCTAAGGCCACTGTGTTGAGTTCTGCTTCTTATCTGCCTGAGACTGTTTCCTGTCCCCCTTCGCAGGATGGTACCGCCCAGCACACTGGCACTGAGAGGCTCAGCCTGGAAACATCCATACTTCACACATTTTCCTTTATGAAAAGGAACAAGCCAGATACTATTCTTAGGAAGAAAAAAAGACAAGCTTTTTTCCTAGAAGTAAGATCAGCAAGTTGACCGCCCCTGCCCCCCACCCCCTGCATCTACACAAGGCTCTCATTATTCCCAGTGTCAGTACAGAGCAGCATTCTGTGGCCACGCTGATCCATTCAGAGGGCCTGATGCTCAAGGAGGGCAGAGAAGTCCCAAGGCACTTGGCACGCCCAGTGAGCTCTTTGCTCTTTATTTATTTATGTGACCGAATACAGCTGCGTCTTGAGTCACTAGGCCTTCAGCAGTGACTGGTAAAATACAAATGTCCATGGGCATTTATAAATAGTTAAAAAAAAATCTTCAAATCTCCAAAGCTATCACATGATATCTCTGCTTTGGTTATAAAATAATGTTGGGTATTGTGTATCCTGAAGGGTAAGTTCAGCCGTATCAGCTGAAGAAGAGAAGTATCACATGCTAAGGGGTTACCAAATGGGGAAAAAACAGACTTCCTGCCACTAAGCATTAGGCCCAGGACTAGCACACAAGAGAAACCAGCAAAGCTGCAAATAAGTGGATTTACAAACTGGTTAGCACCACTGCCTTGCAGAACTGGAACAAAGTGGCTGGAGCTCCAGAAAGGAAGCAGCCTGGAAGAAAGGATAAAAAATGGTGGCTCGCAGGTACACGGTGACTGGGGATCAGCTGGGTGATCCAGGAGTCTGTGTGAGCATGCACCGGGAGTGATGGCAAGCAGAGAGAAAAAGAGCAGATGGAGGTCCTACATGTGGAGCTGCAGCAACCGGGGAGGCATCTCTTTGGCTATAGAGAGATGCTGCTGGGTGAGCATCCTGGCACGAAGATAGAGGCTGCTGGGCAATGATGAGGAGGCGTTAGAAGGCCGATCGCCTGCCCGCCTGTCACCCTCAGCGAAGGCCTCTTGCCTTTCCAGGCCAAACCCCCTCCTCAGAGCATGGTGTCCACACCTCAATCAGCACACAGCTCACCACTCTGTAATGGGGGGTTTGGGGCCTCCTCTTCTACCAGCCAGGCTCCCCAGTCCCAGCCCAGGGGTGCTGAGCAATACTGACTGAATGAGGCAAGGGGCAGTGGATTCTAGAAGGCTGGCCTGCTGGACCCCAAGGCCAGACCAGAAGTCACTCTCTGTGCAGCAAGAGGATAAGGGAGGGGACATGGTTTCTTTGCCACCAGAAGACAAAGGGGAAGTAAGCTGGAAGTACCCTGACCAGAGTATGAGTGGATTTGGAGAGGCAGGCCTGTGGACTGGTTTCAGCGGACACGACAAAGGCACAGGGCGAGGCTGAGAGCAGGAGGGCTGTCTTTTGGTTCTAGTGTTGTTACTCATGGATTAGGTGACTCTGGAGAAATCGTTTATTCTACCTCATCCTTCTAAACTGCAGGAATGGATAGACCTCTGGCTTCGAAATGTGGCTGATTATCAGAATCACCTGGGGAGCTTTACACACACACACACACACACACGCACACGCACACGCACACGCACATGCACACACTCACATATACACACACAGACATGCACAGACACACTTGAATCAGAAGCTCCTGGGCAGGGCCTGGGAATTTACATTGCTTAAAGCTCCAGAGTGCTTCTGATGATCATTGAGACTAGACAAACTCTGGGGGCACTTCCAGCAGTAGAGGAACAGGATTTTTTTTTTAAAGCCCCAACATGGGGCTAGAACTCACAGCCATGAGATCAAGACATGAACTGAGATTAAGAGTCGTACACTTAACCAACTGAGCCACTGAGGCATCCCAAAGGAATATGATTTTATGAAATGTGCACACAACTTTTAAAGAACCATCTTTTTTTTCCATACTTTTTCTTAGAGGAGTCATGTGCTGTTCTCTCTTCAGAGACGTGACAGAATCAATGACAGTACTCGAGGGTGGTTACCAGATGACCACTTACCCTGTTGTGTACCCACCCCTGGGGCTGCTGAAAGGTTCAGCTACGAGGCAGAAGAGCCCAGAGGCCTGGCGGGCATGCTTACAGGCTCCCAGCCAGAATGGGGATGGGGTGCCACCCCCAAAGCAGCACACTCCGTGGGCCAGGCTGAATCTGGCTTCCTCCCTGGCTCCAGGCAGTAACATCGGGTTCTGCGCCTTAGACCCAGGGTGACTAATGCTGGCATCTCAGCACCATACTGGTCCCACCAATGCCACCCCTCTGGTTCAGCTGGCTACATTCCCATTGGGCTAAGAAAATAGCAGCTTCCAGGTGGTAAGTGCATGATCCCTCCTGTGTGCTCTGCAAGCCAGGTCACCCTGAATCCTCACAAGCACCCTATGATGTGCTTTTACTGGGTCCATTTTACAGATGAGAAAACAGGTTTGGAAAGGTTGACTCATTTGCCTAAGACCACAGAGTAGGAGCCAGAACCTACACAGACGTACTGATCTTGAGGCTCCCTTCTTAACCTCTTCTGTGCTCCATTCCTGAGGTCCCCTAGAATGGAACCTCTCCCATCCCCACCTTCCCTTAGAGAGGAGAGAATGGGAAGCATCCCCTGCTGCCCACCGTGTCTCCTTGGCTCACCTTGGCCAGCCTCGCTCGCTTGATGAGGTCGTTGAGTTTGCGCACGGCCGCCTTCTGCGGAAGGCTCTGGATGTCTCTGAAGAGGTCCTGGGCCTCGGCCTCGAAGAGCCGGCGGTTATCAGTGTTCTGTAGGGGCTGTGCCCAGAAAGAGCCGATGTAGACTCGAAGGACCTCGGGTGTGTTGATGACCTTGCCCAGGGACCACATGAGGGCCCCGTAGACGCGCATCAGCTGCTGCGTGTCCACTTGGTCGGCCTTGTTCAGTACCACGCGGATCTTGTCATCTTGGCCGCGGAAGGCCTTGATGGCCTCCGAGAACTCGTCTGAGATGTCCAGTTTGTGAGCATCGAACAGCAGGATGATCCTGTCGACTCGCTCTGCAAACCACTGTAGGACCTGGCAGAAGTCATAGCCTAGGTGGAGAGAAGGGCACGTCAGTGTGGCCGACTGCTCAGAAGACGCATTTACTAGCAGAGCTGGGGACTCACTGGTTCTCTGGCAGCTGCCAAGGACAGAGCACTTCTTTCCAAGAAGGCAGTGGAGGCTCCATGGACTGAAAATCACTTCAAATGAGTCCCCTGGGGCTGGATGCATTCAGGAGATAATGCTGAGGACCCTAGGAACCCTTCCCTGGGAAGAAACAGGAACTGAAAAGGTGCTCAAGGGCACTTTGATTGGGCATCGCTTACTTCCTTATCTGTCATTTCACTTAGTCCCCACGAGTCTCTCATTTCACCTGGTACAGTCCTGGGGATGAATGGCAAATTTGATCAATGGCTCTGTAAAACCACAGGCCCTGGGTCAAAAGTTCTCCCTTCTACCAAAGTCTCACTTTTCTGAAAGAAGCAGAAATGGTGAAGGAAGAAAACCCGGGGGGCCACTTGAGGTCTCATGGGGGGTCTAGTAAGCACAACAAAAGAAGAATTATCTTCTCTTATCCTAAGTTTTTAAGAGTGTTAAGGAGGCCAAAGGTTGGCCTGCCCAAAACTTTGACCAGTATTTATCATTTGGACTATTTATATCTTAAGTAAGTTGTAAATATTAAAAAAAAAAAAAAAATCATGTCTCACAGCCATTGTGTGAAATGTCTTTTGCCAATTTCTTTTTAAAAATGGCTAGGCCCACAACAGACTCTGTTTAGTTCGGTTTGGCCATGTGCCAGTATACTCCAAATCGTGCAGCTACATAAACACTCCTCACAGGCCATGGTCAAGGCCTGTTTTGGGCATCTCCCTGGGGAGGCAGAGGCCCATGAAAAGCAAATAAGAGGAGACTAGTGCCACCAGGTTTATTTATTTATTTAAAAAAATTTTTTTTTAATTTAACATTTATTTATTTTTGAGAGACAGAGAGAGACAGAGCATGAGCAAGAGAGGGTCAGAGAGAGAGGGAGACACAAACTCCGAAGCAGTCTCCAGGCTCGGAGCTGTCAGCACAGAGCCTGACACGGGACTTGAACCCACGAACCGGGAGATCATGACCTGAGCCGAAGTCAGACGCTGAACTGACTGAGCCACCCAGGCGTCCCGACCAGGTTTATTTTTAATCTCAGTCTGATTAGCTGTGGACTCAGTCTCAGTGCAGCCCAGTTAAAGCCCAGATGGCAACTTTCCTGACTCCTATTTGGTGCTATCACCCCTTTTAATAGATTTTGAGAACTCCCAAACACACATAAAAGTCTCGAAAACAATATGATGAATGCTGATATACTCAACCCATAACTTTAATAAATTTTGACATTTGGCCTTGTTTGCTTCAGATACTTTAAGGAATTTAAGTCTACTTTATTTGTATTACAAAATACTCATACAGCAGTGAGGATGAATTGGATTTTCACTTGTCAACACAGGCCAATCTCCAAAAGACTGGTGAGTAAAAAATCAGGTTTCAAAAGAATGTGTACAGTAGGATAACATTCACTTAAAATGTTAAAAAAACAAAGCAATACTCAAGAGCCAATGGATACATACTATACAAACATACAAAAATATTAATACCAAATTTGGGATACTGACTGACCCTGAGGGATCTGAGGTAGATAAGAATGTGTCTAGGGAATGATCTATTTTCAAAAATAAAGGGGGCCGATTGACTAAAGTTTCCATAAATTTGAAGAACAGGTGTAAGGGGAGTAGTTGAAGAAAGAAAGGATTCAGACACAATTTTAATAAGGAAAACAAAACATTCAGAAATGCTGAAGCCCCCCGTAGACCCCTCCCCAAGCACATCCCCCAGAGGAAAGCACCGCCCTATATATGGTGTTTATCATCATTACATGTTTGTATATTTCCCGTTTGTGCTTTTCACTTCTCTATTCTGTCTTTCATGGTGGCACTCCCTGATTCCCTGGGGACAAGGAAGGCAAAGGTAATTGTCAGAATGTGGGTCAGAGTTTATTTTGATCACTATCAGTAGTCAGGTTAGAACAGAGGAAGATCAAAGACCTACTGAACGGGGTCACACTGTAGTATGTAAGGAGTCAGAGTCAAGATTTCACTCTGAGCTCTGTCCCTGCAGGGCCAGAACATAAGGCCTCCCAAAGTGGTTCTGTCATTTGAGACAGACTTGGGTGCCAGAGAGCCCCAAACCCCAGGTAGGAGACCCTCAGCAGGTGAGTGATGATGCTATGCCCTGGTAGTCAGGTAAGATGTTTTGGAAGTGACCACTAGAAGGAGCTGCGTGTGGACACTGGAGTGGATGCAAGTTGAGTTTTGCTGAACACCCTTCCTATTGGGAGGGGTGGGGTCCCCCGGCAGACAGTCCCTTGCCCCACTCGTTGGCAGTCTGCGGTACAGGCAGGTGATCTAGAACCAGAGAGTCATCTCCTTCCAGCAGAGGGGCGTGTTAAATCTTGACAGAAGGACGCAAAGCCACAGGGAAAATGAGAATTTATTCATGGCAGAGAAGCTGAGTTGACAGTCCAGTGGTGGTGGTTTCCTAAGCTAGTTTTCGAGACTAGCTCTCCAACGTACCCATTAACTCGGTGAACAACCTGATTTTCTGCAAATTTCCTTTTCTGCCTCAGGTAGCCAGAATTAGCTTCTTTGATTTGCTACCAAAAACCATGGCTGGTGCATAATTTTCTCCACATGTGAGTATTTCTGTTCAGAAATACTCTTACAATCAGTGCCAAGAGAGACTTGCCGCTCCCCTCACTGTCACCACTGGCACATGTGCGAATTCAGCCATGGAGACACGCATCTCTTCCTCCAAGGACCACCCGGATTGAGTGGCTGGCCTTGACATTACCATGGATTTAAACTTCCACTTAAATTTGGGCTCCTATAGTTATTTTAAATGTCTTTTTAAAAGACATCACTCCATGAAATAAGTCAGTCAGAGAAGGACAGATATTATATGTTTTCACTCATATATATGTGGATCTTGAGAAACTGAACAGAAGACCATGGGGGAGGGGCGGGGTGGGGGGGAGTTACAGAGAGGGAGGGAGGCAAACCATAAGAGACTCTTAAATACAAACTGAGAACAAACTGAGGGCTGATGTGGGGAGTGGGGTAGAGGGGAAAGTGGGTGATGAGCAATGAGGAGGGCACTTGTTGGGATGAGCACTGGGTGTTGTATGTAAGCGATGAACCATGGGAATCTACCCCCAAAACCAAGAGCACACTTTACATACTGTATATTAGCCAATTTGGCAATAAATTATATTAAAAAAATATAAAGATAATCTTCATTTCGAAAAAAAGAAGAAGGCAAAAATCACACACACAAAATAAATAAGTCAAAGACATCATTCCAATACTTCATTGAAATAAAAAGTTAGTGGGAATAGAGCTGCCAGATGTAAGTTTACTGTAAGTGAAGCCATTACTCATCTTTGGAGGAATGGCTGCATGGCCACATTTTCTTGTTTTAAAGTAACAAGGAGAGAGGTGCCTGAGTGGCTCAGTCGGTTAAGTGTCCGACTTCAGCTCAGGTCATGATCTCATGGTTGGTGGGTTCAAGCCCCGCGTCGGGCTCTGTGCTGACATCTCAGAGCCTGGAGCTTGCTTCGGATTCTGTGTCTCCCTGTCCCTCTGCCCCTAGCTTGCTTGCACTCTCTCTCTCAAAAATAAATAAACATTAAAAAAATTAAAGTAATGAGGAAAACTTAAGGTACAGGTAGATAGAAGTGTATTCTATTCGTCATCATGCAGGTGTAAAAGGATTATTTGTTACATATTAGGGAGTATAATCAAAGATGAAGAAATCACTAAGTGTCTCAGGCACTAAGTGTCACTAAGCAAAGAATTACCACAGCTGGGAGAGGTTGGTCAGCTCATTTTTCTTCCATGCACACTTGTTGTTATTATTATTTTACCATTGTAACCATTTTTAAGTGTACAATTTATTGGCATTAAGCACATTCACATTGCTGTGCAATCCCCGTCTCCAGAAGTCTTCATCTTCCCCAAATGAAACTAAGTACCCATTAAACATTAACTTCCCTTTCCTCCCTCCCCCCAGCCCTGGCAGCCACCATTCTATCTTGCTTGTCTTTATGAATTTGACTACTCTAGGTACCTCATATACCTGGAATCGTACGACATTTGTCTTTTTGTGACTGGCTTATTTCATTTAGCACAATGTCCTCAAGGTCCAACCATGTTGTAGAATTTGTCAGAATTTCTCTCCTTTTTAAGGCTGAATAGTTCTTGCTCAATTATTCTTTGTGATTTAAGATAGGCACCAAGTACCTATCTACCAAAAAGTTCCAGCTGATTTTATTTTACTTTTTAAAAGTTTTCTATTATTTATTTTTACACTTATTTATTTTTGAGAGACAGAGAGACAGAGTGTGAGTGGGGGAGGGGCAGAGAGAGAGGGAGACACAAAATCCGAAGCAGACTCCAGGCTCTGAGCTGTCTGCACTGAGCCCGACGCAGGGATCAAATCCATAAACAGTGAGATCATGACCTGAGCCTAAGTCAGATGCTTAACTGACTGAGCCACCCAAAAGCCCCATTCCAGTTGATTTTAAAGAAATGACTTAAAATTAATGATGTCATTTAATCTGCCCGCTGAAGGAAAAGTGACTCAGAAGGATCTATAGATCATTGATTCTCAAGATGTGCTCTTGTATTAGATTCATATAAGGCGCTTGCCAAAGTTTAGACTTGTAGACCCCTCCCTAAAAGCACAGAATCGGAATCCCTGAGACTGGACTTGGTGATGTACGTTGTGCAAACCCTCCAGATGATTGCCATGTTTGGCGGTTTCAGGACTGAGTACCAAGGCATGGGATGGTACAGCTATGTCTACATTATTGTTGGTCAGCAAAACACATTTAAAGTAGTTTCTTTTTCTTCTAAAAAGGTACCAATAGATGGTTAGATGGTGCATCACAGAATTGAGGAAACATGGAATTTAAATCTGCTTATTTGAAGATGGATTTTTAAATTAAAAAAAAAAT